CTTGCCCGGGAAACCTTCCCTTGGCACAGAGGAGTTGTTACACTGCGCTCCAGGCTCTCTGCTCTTTGCTCTCCAGGAGCAAAGCTGAACTATAGCTTCTTAGCCCTCCCAAGAAACCTCCTGCCGAGCAAAACTGCTACACTAGGCTAACATCCCCAGCTGGAAGACCCTGACACCAGAGAATCCTTTCTCTGAGGCTGGGCTGTAAGCTGCTAAGCTTACTGCAGCCTGTGGTGGTCCTTGGCTCCCGAGCTCCAGGATACCTTTCTATCTGAGCTGTGTAACACTCAGTATCCTTGGCTCCTGAGCTCCAGGATACCTTTCCGCCTGAGCTGTGTAACACTCAGTATTCTGTGACTCCCGAGTTTCAGAATACCTGATCCACTCCTGTTCCATCCTGTCCCGACCCATCCCGAAACGCTTACAAGACTCACTTGGGATAGCATTTTCTTATTTAGTGGCAGAGTGAATCCCTGAAATTCTTGGTCTCTACCTTTTTGAGAGCTAAGGCTCAACAACTTTAGACATGTCATAATTCTTGTCCTTGAGCATCTGTGAATGTTTCAATTGAGATATCTTTGCCTGGACACTTATACTGACCAACTGTCTGGCAAGGACAATAATTGCAAAAGGTCAGACTTCTAAGTTTATACAGAGATCTGGCTGAGAGAGCAAGGGTATTGACTTAGCTTGGGGGAGTCATCCAATATGCCAATACATGGGGGAAGTTGTGCACAGGGAATGATTAATACATTGTAATGCTGTGGGGAAAAATCTGTAAGCTATAATGTCAGAGAACAAGCTCTTCACACAAAAATCTACAATGAGGACAGCTGACACATTCAGAAGACAAATTACCTAATTGCCATGTTAAATAAGGTATTGCCATTATATGTACATCTCTTGTGGCAATATTCCTCATAGCCTTGCTAAATGAGACATGTCCTTCAAGAATAAAAACCTCCGATGGGTAGACCTCTAAAGTATACACTAAATTCATTGCATGTAATGTATTTCCCTCATTTCTAAACCTCTATTATATTTTCACTGTTTCCAAGATTTTCTAAAATGGAGGTAATTTCAAATCCCAGGCCTTCTCATTCAATATTGTGCTGTCCATATCCACTTGGAGATAAAACACTGAAATAACTTCTATTTGTTATCTTTTATTTGAATTTGTATATGACTTTAAAATTTTTGACAGTCCTAGATCTTTCATTCTGTAACTTTTAATCATAGCTGATGTTAAAATACTCTGCCTGCTACTTTCTTCCCCATTTTACTCCTGTGATGGTTTTCCTCTTGTGAAAATTCCACTTCCACAGTCAGTCTGAAACTCCCTTACCGAACCCATAAGAATTTTGAGAATTCTCATAACTTTTATTCCTCGCTTTTATGTCTAAGAAAGTAAATATGTACTTCAAATTTGAACTTTGTTAATGGATAGATATGAACAATTTAACAAATAAAAACACATACAAAATAATTGAGACAAATTTCAACCAAAGTCATACAGACTTACACAAATTGAACAAGGAGCAAGCAAACTATTTTGGTATATTATCATGAACAGTGTCAGCTCTAATGAAATTTCTGCAATACCAAATATAAACAAAGAAAAATTGATCCTTCCCTCTGGGAGTTATAAAGAGAGAAAGTGGAATTTGAGTTCATGAACTCTTAGAAGAGAAGATAAAGTAATTTTCTATGCCTGGTAGTAGTGGAGCATGCCTTTAATCCCAGCACTCAGAAAGCAGAGACAGGCAGATCTCTGTGAATGAGAGTCCAGCTTGGTCTACAGAACCAGTTCCAGGATAGCTATGGCTATTCTACAGAGAAACTCTGTCTCGAAAAACAAAACAAACTAAAAATTTGCTAAGCAGCTGATAGCCTTAATTCAGTGGTTTTCATCCTTCCTAACACTTCAACAATTAATACAGTTCTTCATGTCATGGTGAACCCCCAGTCATAAATTATCTTCATTGTTACTTCATAACTGTAATTTTGCTACTGTTATGAATTGTAAATATTTTTGGAGCTAGAGGTTTGCCAAAGGCTTTGTGAACCACAGATTGAGAATCATTGCCTGTGATTAACAGGGTAGGGTAACCAAAAAGTCTGGTCGTCCCTTTTCTTTGATGACTCATTACAACTGAGTTCATTTGAAAACCCTTCTCTAGAATGCTCTAGCCAATCTTAGCCACCACTGGAACTCAGAAGCCCTGGGCTAATTCCTACTTCTGGATTACTTATGCTCTATTAAGATTACTTGCTAATTTCCCACCTATTATAAGACAAGTGAATTTTAATCCAACTTTTATTCACAACAGTAACTTGTCCATTTCGGTTTCACCTCTATGAATAAACTCATGAACATAATAATGAAGCAAATGAGAACACAGAATTTCATATGGTGAAATTTGGAGTAGGAATAAAATAAATTAACCATCCCAGGTACTCACCTGGGAAAGAAAAAGAAGGGCACGACAGAATAGCAGATGACAGTAGTCCTGAAGCCCCTGCATGCATTATAATAAAAAGGGGACACTAGTGATTTGTTTGAATTGATGTTAAACAATCTAATAGGAAGACAGAGGAAGATGCCATCTTAAACATGCAACTTTTTATGCAAATCCACAACCTCTGCTTCTCCCCTGTGGAGACCCTAGAATGTCTTGGAACTCAGGAATAAGGCCTCTGTCATGTATCCATAAATAGGCTACGATTACTGTCTTAGATTTTATTGAAAACTTTCAAAGTCCTGCATTTAAAATTTTCTCCAGAGTTCAAAAAGAGGAACTACAAATAAGTGAGGGAACTAAAATCTGAGGGAAAAAAGAATTGACTCACACACAATTGCACCTCTGCATGCTTGCATGCTCTTTCATCTTCTTCTTCTTCTTCTTCTTCTTCTTCTTCTTCTTCTTCTTCTTCTTCTTCTTCTTCTTCTTCTTCTTCTTCTCCTCCTCCTCCTCCTCCTCCTCCTCCTCCTCCTCCTCCTCCTCCTCCTTCTCTTTCTGTCTCTTTCTCTCTGTCTCTCTGTCTCTGTCTCTGTCTGTCTGTCTGTCTGTCTGTCTGTCTGTCTCTCTCTCTCTCTCTCTCTCTCTCTCTCTCTCTCTCTCTCTTTCTCTCTTGTTTTACCTCAGTTCTTGGTGGTCCAGGTATACAGTTTGCAACAGTAATTCTTTTTACAATACAATATGAGGCTTGAGTTTCTCAAAGTCAGCAAGGCAGATAAGATTTACACACAGAGCAATAAACTAAAACTTCTAGGCAGAACTTTTAGCATCCATTACTTAGTGCCGTAGGTCAAAGAGAGGGACTAAGTTTAATTTGCACAAGAAACAAAACCTGGTGCCTTCCAGTGCTCTGGCCTCAGTGGTGGCACAGACCTTTAGGAAAGTTTACTTTTCCCTGAGGATGAGCAAATGAGCTGATTACTTTTGTCTTTCAGGGGAAACAGGAGGGAGCAGTAAATCTCTGAGCTAAAATCTTGAGTTAATAAAGGAGAATCTTTTAGTGCAGGGTTAGTTTAGGTTATTACTTCTCTATCTGCCAGTGAGGTAAAGTCAAGGGCATGCTTATATTTTCTATCCATCTAGGCAGCTATGAATCAACAACTTTGGACTTGTAGTAATTGTATGTCCTTGGATAATTAGGAATATCTTAGATGGGATGCTTTTGCCTAGGCTCTAAACACTGAACAAATAAATGCCTGCCAACAAAGGTAAATTGCAGGAAGGCAGACCTCTGCAATTACAATGGAGACCTGATAGTGGGAAACAGATCTCACACACAGCTGAGGTATATAATCAGTAAACTAGACCCTGTTAATTGAGAACAGGTATTTGCACATAGCTAGGGAGTGCAATCAGTAAAACCTCAAATGTATGAGAGAAATTTGTTTTAAGTAAATGATTAGATAGTACTAAACTGTGGGAAGTAAATCCCAACTTTGTTACAGAAAGGAATGGGCTAGAGGAAGAATCTACAGCAAGACACAGCCAATTCATTCACGATATTACAAGGCTAGGTACAGCTTTATGCTGGTTCATTCCTCAGAAGAATCGTTTATTCTTCTAAGTTATTAATGATGCAAAGTGTGTATAATTACTGCGTGGTTTTGTGGCTTGAAGCAAGTTTTAAATTTACTTAAAACATGTAACATGATTCTTCATAAAATAAAAAAATTAAATAAGATAAAATAAAAGGGACCATCACAATAATTATTTTAAATAGCCTAAATGTGACAATATTTTCTTCAGTATATAAAAATTCAAAATTGTGCAGTACTTAAAGTTAATTTTACAAATAGAATTGGAAATTGGAGAGAAAGGATTTTACCTTTCCTCTTCTTATATTGATTCTTACTTAAAATTAAATTAAGTCTAATCTTAATTCGAAAAGAAATGACAAATGTCTAAATAGATAAAAAGAAAGCGCAGAACAAAAATCTAGTAAGCAAAGCAATCACCAAAATTTATAGGACAGTTGTTTCTTCCTTAAAAAATATTCAGTACATACAGTATAAATGACATCATAAATTAAGTTACCAAAAAGGCAGCTGAAGACAAGTGACTTTTTAAAAGGTAGACTGAATGCTAGCATGTTAAAAATCATCAAATATTCTAAAGTTAAAAACATTTTGAGGACCTTATTTTCCCTCAAGTATTTCATTTAGACGAATGGGTTTCTCTAAAGATTTCCTGGGATTCCATATGCAGACAAGTCTTCTCAACTGTTCAATCAACACAAGGCCGTGTTCCAGTAGTAACGGTGAATCTATACCATTGATATTTTTAGTTTGAATAGCACCATCTTATTTCCTACATAATTTGCCATCATTACATGAATCACTTCTTTGTTGAAGACTTTTCTCAGAATTTCCCAACAGAGGAAGAGCTGAGAAGAAATTAATTTCCTATTTGAAAAAATTCTTAGAATTTATAAAAAAAACCTTTGTCTGAAACAAAACCACGAAATTAGCATTTCACTTATCAGTGAGTTTAAATAGCTCTGAAGCAAAGTCATCAGCCATCATCTTGACCATCTCCCAGCTTTCTTCTTCCCACTCTTGGGTTCAAGGTATTGTGTTCAATACAACGGCTGCTATGATTTCATAAAGTTAACTTTTAATACTCAATTAAATGCATTTGTAACATTTTCTATATGTTTATAAGATATTGATACTTTGTGACAGTGTTCTAAGAGCTTAAAACTGCATTTGTAAAGTTTCATGTCTTCTCAGAGATAAAGAAGAGATTATTATAGCTTTGTATAAATGAATTTACCTTTGATAACTGCAAATATTACATACTAAAATGATACATAGTTTTAATACTCTCTTAGGATAAGAAAATTCAAATCATTTTGTCCAATTGAATGTCAGTAGAAGTTGTCATGCAAGTATTTTCTGATTTCTATAAATATGATAGCAAAGGCCATTTTAACAGTGTTTCTCAGGACCATCTTTTATCAGTGTCATTTGGCTAATAAACATAAGAATATGCTAATGATACAGATTTATAAACAACTGCTTTGTGCAGATTTTTAAACTTATAACCTTGGAAAACCATCAGTAGATTCATACTAAATTGGACAGCATTTAAAAAGTGACTTCTTTACCAAAGCACTTTTAGATTCTTGATATATCAGTGATAGTTTTTTATCTAAGATGTAAAAGAATTACACGTACAATGCGATTTTACTTTGATTTGTTTTGTGTTTTACAAAACAGGGTTTCTCTGTGCAATCCTGGCTGTCCTGATACTCGCTCTGTAGACCAGGCTGGCCTCAAACTCAGAGATCCACCTGTTTATTCCTCTAAGTGCTAGGAATAAAGGCTATCACCACCACTCTCTGGTTATTATTTTCACCCTGTGTTCTTTTTCTTTCATCTATTTTTTCAATTTAAGTAAATGCTACTATCTGTAATTAAGAGCAATTTCCTGGAGCTCTAGAAGTGAAACACAAAAAGACATAGGAAACTAATAACATCCTTTTCAGTCATTGTCATCGAGCACTGTGGATAGCTTGATGAAGAAAGTTGTAATGTGAGAACCAATATTTACAAAATTAATTGCAGAAGGTTAGTAATATTAGCCAAGAGAATCTTCACAAAGAATTGAAGAATGGAATACTTTTAAGTTAATTTGCATAAAAGATACTTTTTCAAAGAATTTCAAGTGAAAATTCCCTTTGGGTTTTAGTTCTTTATGTTGCCCACTTCACACATGTGGTGATTCAAGAATTGCTCTTTGTAATTAATTCTAAGGACTGATGCTTCCACCCCTGCCCTTAAAGGTTATCATAATGAATATCAAATTATTCTTTAGACAGTAAATACAAATGCTAGGAAACTGGTATAAAAGAAGAACTAAGAAAGGGCAGGCAAGATGGCTCAGCATGTGTAGGCACTTGCCACAGAGCCAGCATTTGAGTTGCATCCCGAGGCTCCACATGGTAGCAGAAAAGAATGGACTTTGAATTTTGACCTCATGAGCTGTTCTATGACCTGCATGCATGCATGCAGTGTCAATACGTGGGTTCAGAGAGGAAGGATTGAAAGGAGAGAATATATAAATGAAAATTTAAAATTGGAAGAACTAAGATAACAAAAATGGTAAACATGTATCTTACTTGCATAACCAACCATCTTATGTTTTTAAAACTAATATGTCTAAAACCAATTTATTCTTATCATAATAAGTAGTTCTTTCTTGAAAGGTCAAGGAAAAAATATGAAGATAAGATCAACAAAGCTTTTCACTCTTTTCCTTAAATAGGCCTTGGCAACCATGAAACTTCTCATCCTCACCTGCCTCGTGGCAGCTGCTCTTGCCATGCCTGTGAGTACAGTGGATAGCAAATTCTATCATCTTGTTATAAATGATCCTCCAGTTGTTCACACCTGAGACTCCTACAGCAATAACCCTAAGCATTTGACAATTTCTAACAACTGTAATAAGAATTAGAAATGGGTTATGACTTCATATTCCTATCACATTATGTAATCCATCCAAATCCACAACTCCAGGTCACATGTCCTATTATAAAGTTAATAAACATACAATGAAAATCACATAAAAGTAAGAAAAATATTTCATGACCCTGAAATTGCATAACAGGATGTAATGTCTCATTTCCCCAGTACACCACAGAATAAGCATCCTTATAAGTATACCAAATATGCCAAAGAGCCTTCTATTCCAGAGGACTCTATGGAGTCAAATTCTCATTTTGGTTACCTTGTATCAGTATGACTTCTCAAGAAATAGAAAACTCATATACCAAAGAAAACAGTGTGGTGTCTGTATGTATATGTTACCATTCAAATAAATTAAATTGCTACCTTCACAGTCAAAATATGGATTTAAAATTATGTAATATAACTGGTGATAAAATGCAATCATGTCAAAATTTAGTGCATAGTCAGGATACTGCACACTTTGTTCCTTAATTAACATAATGTTTTAAAATTATTTTTAAAATTGTCATGGAATATAAATTGTCCAGAGAAATAAATTTTCATTTTGAACCAATTAAAAGTAACTGAGAGTTTTACTTTCCCAGCATTTTACATGGTTTTCTCAGTTCTCTGCCATAATGTAAAGAAAACAGATAAACTATTTTTTTCTTTGATAACTGTCAATAAAATATTTCTTTTTATTTTCAGAGCAACAGTTTCTAACAATTTTTATTACAATTGTTAAAGACTTTTCTTAAATGGCAGTTTTAAGTAAATGGTAATATATGTGCATTATTATAGTTATTTTGATTGATTTTAGCCTTTTTATGTCATTCAATTCCTCTGTTACTTTTCAGAGACTTCATTTAAAAAATGCAGTACACTTTCAAGTAAGTACTGTACTCTGCCCTTCTAGAACTTTCTCTAATCATGGGTCTTAATTGATGATGTACTGACAGCAAAAAGACCCAAACTAGGTCTGCCTGTCTTCCTTCCTTCCTCCCTTCCTTCCTTCCTCCCTTCCTTCCTTTCTTCCTTCTTTCCTTTCTTTTTCTTTGTGGAATAGCCCCTTTTACCTTTTCTGGGGGATATCTTTTCTGAAAAATTACCAACACATACAAGATTGGTTATTCTAACCAAACTTTTAAGTAAAAGAGCACATGGGGCATGCGAAATGGCTCAGCAGCTAAATGTTACTGCTGTGTAAGCCTGATGTCTTACATAAATTCCAGGATCTCAAACTGGAAGAAAAAAAAACAACTTTCAACCTTTAAGGTTGTCCTCTGGCCTCCATACATGTACCTTGGCATGAACATGCCCACTTAAACACACACAGACATACACACACACACACACGCACACACACATACACACACACACACATTACCATTTCATGTACTTATTCACAAGAAATAGCAAAACAATATGTTAATTCTGGTTTCTTTCTTTTCCATTAATCTTTGTGACTTTTAATTTGCTATAATTTTATATAATGAATCATGAATTATTTACCTCTGCCACACCACTATAATAGGCATTAATCCTCCAGTGTATGAACTAATGCCATACATCATTTATTCTTTGCAGAATCAACACCAGGACAGCAGTGAGGTAAGCTGAATGTGTAGAGAGCCAAGTCCACAGCCTCCTTGTGTCCTCCTCCATCCTTCAGTTAGTTACCATGAATGCCCAATACCTTCTACACACTGATTTATATCCATGTGTTAAAATACCTGGACTGCCCTCTCAATTCTGTTTTGATTTTATCTAAATGTAAAGTCTTTGTTGGGGATTTTGAAAATCTCTTAGATTTCTGATTTAGTACATAAATCTAAAGCTACAGATTTTTCTTCCACCTAAGAATCTGCTGATTTACTGAATTAAAAACACTTGCATTCCTGTGGGTAAAGAGTTCATTTTTGTGTGTTCACATTCATCTCAATATATGAATGAAATAATGTATTTCAACATACGTGTATACTCAGTATTATCATTTTATAATTTGAAATTTTAATTTCAACAGGAACAACAGAAATTTGTTGAGCTACCAACATATCTTGGGTTATATGAGGTAAGTGTTACCAACTTTAACATACAATTGCACTCATAGAGGAAAACTCATTATTTTTTTGCTAACATACAAGTAGTGGATTTCATTATGGAATTTCCATGCATGTGTCACTACTCTTTGTTCTCAGTAAATGGATTTAACAAAGCACAGTGTGCTTGTAAAAATGTTTGTACATTAGTTGACAGTCATTTTTATTCATTAAAAATTGGATTTTAATTTTAATTTATACTAAATTTTGCCTCTGACAAAAACACTTGTCCTTTCTTTCCATGACTTATTTAGCAGCTCAACATTCCATGCTCACAATGTATTCTGTGAGCATAGATGGTGCCTCAGATGTGCTACAGTTCCCTAAAATGTTGTTTGTTGAATATAAGAATATCAAATTCTAATGGAAGACTACTATTTATTTAAAAGACTTGATGGCTAACCCAACCCTATCTGAATGAATTTTATCATAAGCATTTTTAATTCTTTCCCTTATTTTTTATGATTATGTCATTTTCCCATTCTCTTTCCTTTCTCCAAACACGCCCAAGTAGCTGCCCCTGCTCTTCTTTCTTTCTTCATTAATTGGTACACATACACACACACACACACACACACACACACACACACACACACACACACGCATATATTTGGTTTTAGATAATCAATTGTTGTGCTCTTCCATGGGGAATACTATTTCTCATACTCTCAGCATTCGTTGATTACCCGTAGTTCTTTGTGTAGGGTTGAAGTCTCCTGGGCTTTCCATTGTCCATTTAGCATGTCCACTGTCAGAAGCTACCCCCATAAAGTCTCACTAGCATGACTGCCTAAACACGAGCTGACAAAGGGCAATATAACTTAAGACTAATTATCACACGTAAGCCAAGTCAAAATGAGTCTGTGGGATATAATGTAGAGTTAAAATATATACTCAAGTTAAAACCAATAGACTGCAGAACTGATTATTAACCAAAATGACTGGCAAAGACAACAAAATAAAGTAAAACAAATTTGAACATATTTTAAGAGCACATTTACTGATAGCATATACAAAGAAAGCACATCAAATAAACATTTAATTTTAGAATTGCTATGACAAGAAACACTCAGAAATTAATGGAAACTAGATTTATGTTTAAATGACATCAATTTAATTACAGACTTTCATTATTTATGTCCTTTTCACTAATATTGTTTTTCTTTCTTTGAAAACCATAAGAAACTCATCAGTGTCCTGAACAGAGTAAGAAACATTTTAAATTTAAACCACTATTAAAGTTAAATATTGTTAACTATTGAATACATGTGTAAATATTTGTTATACACATTACAATTTGCTTTTTCAACAGAGAGAGCTTCTGACAGGAGAACAGAGTGATGAAATTCAGGTATTAAAGTGTTCCCCAAAATACTGTGACAAATATATGCAGCTACATAGCACAAAATACTTTTATTTGTACTATCTATGTCATTTATTCTTTTCTTGAAACCCTAAATCACATATTCAAAATGACTAATGGATTCTATTGATAATTCAGAAGGTTTCTAACTTTATGGACTTACATGAATAATTATGATGGAGCAAGATATACTTATAACTCAATGACTAAACAAATAAATGTACTTATGATCTGGTCCATAGTTTGCATTTATGATGAAGACGAAAGGAATGCATTGTCAGAGATGATTAAAAATATTACAAGTGACCCAAGAACATTTTACAAAACACTTTTTAACTTGACTATTTGTTTAATTATTATTATATAAATTTAATACTGAAAGAGTATGTAGTTCTCAAAATTTGTAAGGCCAGTGACGTGTATCTTTTAAAATCTATTTGATGACTGGAATATTTTCCTACAGGCAACTATGGATGAATCAACTGAGGTAAATCTTATTGCTTAAAAATTTTCCACTGTGTATAGGTGGGTCATATTATAAGCACTCCATTTAGTTATCTTACCTAAATGATAGAATAATTCTTTTCATTCTATGATATATATACCTCTAATTCCTAGAAATAAAAGTTATTGCTTTCTGTTTGCTGGAATTAAGTAGATGTCACACAAACACTGATATTTTGAACTTTAGCCCTGGGGGTGATATCTTTCTACTGCTGTGATCCTAAAACTTGGGAACAGAATATTAAGTAGAAAAAAATTCATTTCCCAAATGAATTTATCCACCCTTGAATCACTCTACTCTGATACAATTTTATTTGTTGCATGCCTTTTACACAGTTGTTCTGCTCAATGTCCAGAAATGAACTTAAGAGAAAACAAAAAGTTACAGGGTCACAGATACATTAATAGGTTGACAGTCACTCGCAATGTGGAAGAACCCAAAAGATTTGAATTAATCTTGGAAATGCAAATTATGAAAATGAATACTTCAGTTTGACAAGTTTATTTTTTAATTTGCCTCAATTCTTAAATATTATACCAAATATCTATTTGTTTCTAGCAACTATTTGAGTTGGTAGTTACTAGTTTAATATTTGTCATGAAAAGATAAATTTTCTTTTCATTTCCTTTCCTTAGGAACAAGCAATGGGAATTGCTCAGGTGAGGTGCTGTTATTCTAAGGAACTATGAGATTATGCATCACATGAACTGCATGCAGTCTGCTCCATTTTAAGAACACTGCCTTAAGCTGAGCACACTGGGAAAATGAATTTAGAAGTATTTTCTTTCTTCGATTTCTCAGAGAATTGTGTCCCATTTTATGCATAAAGAATGCACAGGGTTTTCCAGTTAGAATTAGAATTAGAAGTAGAATTTAAGCCATTCAAATAATAGTCAGTAAAATAAAAAATATTTGCTTACTTCTTAGAATAGGACCCAAAAAGCAACAAAATATGCATCAATGTCAGACACTGCATCGAAACACATTTGGAACCAAGTACTTCCTTTGCTACTCCCAAGTGTGGTGTTGAAACAGAAGGTACTCACATCATACCAGCTTAGGATGGATGTACTGTGTTGCCAACTCTAAAGAATGTGAAGAAACTCCATGGACCTATTATGTATATAGTCATTCAAGTATCTCCAGAAACAAATAATCAGTGGAATATTAAAACCAATCTTGTAAAATGTATTACTGGAGATGAAACCGCATAGGCATATATTTGAATGAAGTAGAAGAAAGAGTAAATATTTCAAAGGGTATATGATTTTATGCCTAATCTAACTTTCTCCCCACATTAAGACTGTTATTTTTAAAATTTTCAGTTTATTCACATTAACAAGGCCCAAAACATGTGACACTACACATTGTCCCTAGGGTCTTTGATAACTTTGCTTAATAACTATTTCTTTAAATTTTCATTTTATCAAAAGAGGTGTCATAAATTTTGCATTAATACAATGATATAGTTAGTTGTCTTTGTTTTAGTAAATAAAAAGTATTATTTAAAGTTTTTCTTTTCACTTCCTTGCTAGTTAGTTATTAGGGTTCCTTCCACACAATTTTTCATGTAAAACCGGTAAGAAAATGCACCATAGTGGCCACAAGTCTTTTTACATAGTATGTTTGAACTCTAAAATGACCCTTTTGATGTCATGGGATTGTTTTCTTCAAATTCTAAACCTTTAAAGAGGTCATGAGACTCATTTTCTTCCTCTTAGCAGCAGGACGACTCCAGCAGCATCTCATCAAGCGAGGTAAAGGGTTTTCATTTTCACTCCTAGCTCCAGTTACCTGGTAGATATTTGTGAAAATCTGTAGTACAATAAAAGATCTCCTTGCTCTAGATTCTATATGTGTTGACATTATGTCAGTTTTAATATTTGTCATCCAAAAAGAAGAAGAAAGCAACTACTTATCAAACATGAATTTAAAGAGTCATTTTTGAGCAAATAACCTTATCTGGCCATGTATGGTTTCTTCCTGTCTGATTGTTCATCTTTACATTTAGTTTCCTTCTTCATCATCCTCAGATGTTTTTTTATAGAACTTGAGGTTATTAAATGATCTCTTCCAAGTGAATGACATGTGTGCTTTATGTTCTGTATAGAAGCCATTTGTATCTGGATCATTCTGGTTCTAGAATAATATTAGCAGGATTTGTTGCCTCTGGAAAAATCTAAAGAAAGAACAGTACATCAAAAAAGATGCTGAGGCCAAGGCATTGATTTTAACAGTGAAATTTCCAGTTATTAAAATAAAATGTAGGACAAGGAGAGTAGTTACGTAATTTTTACAGTAGTTTTTCTGCATCTACTGTAACATTCTAAGTTATGTCCTAGTAAAAACAGTAAGAAGAAAGGTGGTGTAAATATAATGTGCAACCCAAACATCAGCCCCATCTCATTGTCTGGGAGTTTGTGGCTTAAGATCAGTTTAGTGTAGTAATTTAGTAATGTGGCATGTTATTGTTTAGAATACATCAAATTAGAATATGTTATAACTATAAATCTGTGTTTTCCTCATTTTGTTAGGAATCCGAGAATGCTATTCCCAGTAACAGTGAGGTAAGGTATATTTGCTAAATTTAACATAAGCTAACAATATGCTATTATTAAGTTATGCAAACAAAGTATACCCACACAATCTTCATATCTGTAATATCTTTCTTTCATTCTTTCTTTCCTTCCATCCTTCTTTCCTTCTTTATTTTCTTTCTTTTTTTTTAGACTAAGCACATTTCAAGTGAAGACATACTCAACCAGTGCACCCTGGTAAGACTTCATTGAGTCTTTCCAAAGCAGAAATTCAGTGAGTCTCGTGAAGTCAGTGCAAACCTTATAATGATGCTGTATCTCCATCTTGAATGGGGAATTAATTGCAATATGTATTCTCATGAAATCTACATAACTAATTACCAACTTCTAAACTTAGTAACAGCGTTTATCCTGTGTTTATGATGCTTTCATTTCAACTAGGTATTTTATTTTATGTTTTCAATTTGCAAATCTGAATAACACACTACCTAAATGTTGGCACATTAATTTGTCAAATTTAAGCTTCAGTTGAAGCTGTGTTTTCAATCAATCTGATATATTCATTGTGTCTTGTGATAAAATAAATATTAAATTATTAATGTGCTAAAGATAGCACATCATAGTCTCTCAATAAACTTTAATTAGCATTGGAAACATTTTAACTTGGCTCATGAAGCATTATGAATTAGTTTGTAAAACCTAATTCATCTTCTGGCTTCCCAGCCTGAGGATACTGCAAATATGACTGCCTAATAGCCACACTTAAAGATAACTACAATATGATTTAAATTAAAAGTTTTTATAAAAAATTATTAATGATTATAACAGAGATAAATTCATTTGAAATAGAAAAGGTTCTGAAATAAGAGCAATAATTCCTCATCTTTTAGTCCTGAAAAAAGACATTGCAGTTTTACTATCTAAAACCACTGAATTGTGCACATGAAATTCAAAATATTTCTTCATTTTAAACAGGAACAGCTTAAGAGACAGATCAAATGCAGCCAACTATGTCAGGTAACCTTTTATTCATTATAATACTAATTCATATTCAATTATAGCGATAATATAACGAGTTTTATTCACATATATCTTCTTTTCTTTCTTTAAGTAAGCTATTTATTCTAACTTTGACATTAATAATAATTAACCCATTATTAATATGAATATCAACCTGCAATGTTTAGCACTTCTACTTTTCTGAAGCAGAACTCAAGTTTATTAACTCTTTCATGTAAACATGACATTAAGAGACAGGGGAGAGAAACAGGGAATATCATTATATACTGTACAGAGAATGTGGGCTTCTTAAGACTGAGCTAGTTAGACATCATGTACTTAATTGCTAACTAGGGAAAATTTACATTAGTGCAGTCAAATTGTACATTACTCTAGTACAAATTCTATGTTAATATACTAAAGGAAAAATTTTTTTCTTCCCTAGCAAGCTACCCTGGCCCAGGTGAGTTTTATTTCTAGCTAACTCTAAATTATTTTAATATTTTTAAAATACTATAACTATACAAATTCCATGTCAATCAATATACTGAAGACTTATTTTTTTTGTCTTTAGCAAGCTTGCCTGGCAGAGGTAAGAGTTTTAAATTATATCTAAATTATTTTAGTATTTCTCAGTAATTATACCAATACAAATTCCGTGTCAATCACTATGCTAATAGGAGAATTATTTTTCTTCTGTAGCAAGTTTCCCTGGCTAAGGTAAGATTTTTTTCTTTTATTGAATCTAAATTATTTTAATATTTCTCAATAATTACGCCTATAAAAATACTATGTCAATCAATATACTAATAAAAGAATTACTTTTCTTCTATAGCAAGCTTGCCTGGCCCAGGTAAGACTTTTAAATTAAATCTAAATTATTTTAATTTCTCAAATATGTCAATCAACATGCTAATTGGAGAATTATTTTTCTTCTGTAGCAAGCTTCCCTGGCTCAGGTGAGAGTTTTAAATTAAATCTAAATATTTTAATTTCTCAAATATGTCAATACAAATTCCATGTCAATCAATATACTAATAGGAGAAATATTTTTCTTATGTAGCAAGCTTCCCTGGCTGAGGTAAGAATTTTTCTTTTATTGAATCTAAATTATTTTAATATTTCTCAATAATTATGCCAATACAAATACTATGCCAATCAATATACTAATAGAAGAATTACTTTTCTTCTATAGCAAGCTTGCCTGGCCCAGGTAAGACTTTTAAATTAAATCTACATTATTTTAATTTCTCAAATATGTCGATCAACATGCTAATTGGGGAATTATTTTTCTTCTGTAGCAAGCTTCCCTGGCTGAGGTAATATTTTTTTCTTTAACTGAATCTAAATTATTTTAATATTTCTCAATAATTATGCCAATACAAATTCTATGTCAATCAATATACTAATAGAAGAATTATTTTTCTTCTATAGCAAGCTACCCTAGCTCAGGTGAGAGTTTTGAGTTTAATCTAAATATTTTAATTTCTCAAATATGCCAATACAAATTCCATGTCAATCAATATACTAATAGGAGAATTATTTTCCTTATGTAGCAAGCTTCCCTGGCTGAGGTAAGATTTTTTCTTTTATTGAATCTAAATTATTTTAATATTTCTCAATAATTACGCTTATACAAATACTATGTCAATCAATATACTAATAGGAGAATTACTTTTCTTCTATAGCAAGCTTGCCTGGCCCAGGTAAGACTTTTAAATTAAATCTAAATTATTTTAATTTCTCAAATATGTCAATCAACATGCTAATTGGAGAATTATTTTTCTTCTGTAGCAAGCTTCCCTGGCTCAGGTGAGAGTTTTAAATTAAATCTAAATTATTTTAATATCTCTTAAATATTATGCCAATAAATTCTATGCCAACCAATATGCTAATAAGAGAATTATTTTTCTTCCATAGCAAGCTTGCCTGGCCCAGGTAAGACTTTTAAATTAAATCTAAATTATTTTAATTTCTCAAATATGTCAATACAAATTCCATGTCAATCAATATGCTAATAGGAGTATTTTTCTTCTGTAGCAACCTTCCCTGGCTGAAGTAAGATTTTTTCCTTGAATAAATCTAAATTATTTCAATATTTCTCAATAATTATGCCAATACAAACTCTATATCAATCAATATGCTAATAGGAGAATTATTTTTCTTCCATGGCAAATTTCCCTAGTTAAGGTAACAGTTTTAAATTAAATCTAAATTATTTTAACTTCTCAAATATGTCAATCAACATGCTAATCGGAGAATTATTTTTCTTCTGTAGCAAGCTTCCCTGGCTGTAAGATTTTTCTTTTACTGAATCTAAATTATTTTAACATCTTTCAATAATTGTGCCAATACAAATTCTATGTCAATCAATATACTAATAGGAGAATTATTTTTCTTCCATAGCAAGTTTCCCTGGCCCAGGTAAGAGTTTTAAATTAAATCCAAATTATTTTAATATCTCTTAAATATTATGCCAATAAATTCTATGCCAACCAATATGCTAATAAGAGAATTATTTTTCTTCCATAGCAAGCTTCCCTGGCCCAGGTAAGATATTTTACTAAATCTAAATTATTTTAATATTTCTCAAATATTATGCCAATACAAATTCTATGTCTACCAATATACTAAAAGAAGATTTATCATTCTTCTTTAGCAAGCTGCCCTGGTACAGGTAAGAATACTTACTAAAATTTAAATTTTTTAAGTTTTTTTATTTTTTAAATTTTAATTAGAAACAAGGTTGCTTCGCATGTTAATCCCAGTTCCCTCTCCTTCCACTCCTCCCATATCCTCCCACTAATCCCCCCATTCCTCCTCCCCAAGTCCCCACTCCTTTCCCCAGGGAGGAGGCCCTCCATGGGGGCTGTCCAGAGTCTGTCATTTCATCCAGGGCAGGGCATAGGCCCTACCCCCAATAATCCAGGCTGAGAGAACATCTCTCATTGTGGGATGGGCACCCAAAGTCCATTTGTATGCCAGGGATAAATACTGATCTCCATAGATTGCCTAGGGCTCCTCACTGACACCCACATTCAGGGGGTTGTGATCAGTCTTTATCTGGATTCCCAGCCATCAGTCTGGGGTTCAAGAGCTCTCCCTTGTTCAGGCCAGCTGTTTCTGTGGGATAAACAAAACCAATCTTGACCCCGGTGCTCCTTCTCTGTCATTGGGTTCCTTGATTTAAGCTCAGTGATTAGCTGTGGGTGTCTGCCTCTGCTTCCATAAGTCATTGGTTGAAGGTTCTATCTCCCAGACACTCTGGCTGTGGGATTTTATGCTGGCACTCCCCTAATCCATACCTAAAATCTGTATATGAGTGAGTATATACCATGTTTGTCTTTTTGTGAGTGGGTTACCTCACTCAGGAAAGGAAGAAGTCAAACTTTCACTATTTGCAGATGATATGATAGTTTACATAAGTGATGCAAAAAACTCTGCTAGGGAACTCCTACAGCTGATAAATATTTTCAGCAAAGTGGCAGGATACAAGATCAACTCAAGAAAATCAGTAGCCCTACTTTACATAGGCAATAAAAGGGCTGAGAAAGAAATCAGAGAAACATCACCCTTTACAGTTGCCACAAACAACATAAAATATCTTGGAGTAATGCTAACCAAAGAAGTGAAAGTCCTGTTTCACAAGAACTTTGAGTCTTTAAAGAAAGAAATTAAAGAAAACACCAGAGAATGGAAAGATCTCCCATGCTCTTGGATAGGCAGGATCAACATAGTAAAAATGGCAGTCTTGCCAAAAGCAATCTACAGATTCAATGCAATCCCCATAAAAGTCCCAGAAAATTTTAAATTATTTTAATATTTCCACTATGTGCTATGGTGATAGTGAGATCCATATTATTGTTCTAGTTTTCATGTTGATTCCGTTTAAAACAAATGTATAAAAATTTAAACTTTTTGTTTCCCTGACAATTTCTCAGAAATTAGCTGATTGTCTTAGCTATGTATGCCAGGGTATGAAAGAAACTTACACATTTTTGAAGCACCCTAGGTTTGCATACGTTTCCCATAATATTTCATCATATATAATGCAGTTTTTAAAACAAGACAAGTACATGGTAAATGTTGACTATTCATAAATAAATAAAATCAATATACTAAAAGAAACAAAATGTTTTTTCTATTTAGTAATCTGTCTCTGCCCAGGTGTTATCATTTATTAAATTTTAAATATTTTAATATTTATATTCTGTGTTGCATTTTAAGAACATAAACTTTTTTAAAGAACAGAAACATCTTCCATGCTTGAGTCAGGTCTAATACTCAAACATGGTATTATTTTACTTGAAATTTACCAAAGAAAAATATTAATAGTGATTTCAAATGGGTATGAAAATAAATATAGTCTTGAAGAATGGATAGGCTATTATTTCTTCTAGAGAATAAAACTATTTACTATGAATTTTTTGCAAACTCCAGTAAATTTTTTAATTCACTCAGAATAAGAAAGTGTAGATTTTTTTCAGTAACCCTTGCATGGAATCTATATTGTACACTGTAATTTTTGTGGATTCTGACATAATCTCTACTCATTGTCATGAGAACCGCAGCGTGATGTCAGATGTCTGAGTAATCAATAATGTGTCTCTATACAGGAACAACCTTACAAAATGAGTGCATACAACCAGTTTCAAATGGTAATTTTTTTCTCTGTATTATGAAATAACAATATATTACGTTTTTGTTTTAAAATAGCTTCTCACTCTTGAAAAGCTTCCCTCCCGCCCCCATCTTTTCCTCTTTCTACCTTTTGTTAACTAATTTACAATGGTAACTACAAGCACACAGATGACTGGTCTCCATCCTTTGGGTGGGACCTGCTCCTGCTTCTCCTTGTGCATCTCTCATGTCCTGTGGGCAGGACAACTATAATCACAATAATTTTGAAGAGGCACTTTCTATAGCTACATTTTTTCATGTTAACATCTATTTTGTTGTCAGTAACTATACCTGTAAATTTCTGACTGTCAAACTGAATGTGGTTTAGGAATCTGCAGTTCAGTTTTAGTCATATTCCCTTAACTGGGTCATGCTGGAGACTGACTAATTGACACACTATTCTTTAAAGAGACCATCTAGACTCAGGGAGACTGTATCAAATCCTTCCACTTTCTATTTTTTCATCTACGAGGTGAATTTTTCGATAATAGAGAGTGGATACTGTCTGTTGTACTCTGTATGCCACTGGTTCCCTAGCGTCCCTGTCATTTAAGGTAAAAATTAGTTACTATGAAACAACTGTTGCCCAGCAATTCTGACTCAGGCAGATCACTAGACCAATAGCATACCATGGAGATTTCTGACAGGAACTCAGAATTTAGTGAATCAGCGATTGTTGAGGGTGCCTCTGTGTCTTAATGGAAAATATGTCAGTGAGTAATTAAACAGCAGTTGACAAGATTAGTGTCAGTTCTCAAATAATGAACAAGAAAAGTTTCGAATAGGTTGTTTCTGCTGCCCTTATAGTGTCAATACATCCTAAAAGGTAATTCCTATTTCCTTTTCTCTTTGCAGGGACAGCCTATGAGTGCAGTAGATCAGGTATAGCATCACTGGTGTACACATCTGTGTGGGTGCATGTATACTGTTGCCATAAATATTCTTTTATACATACTAGTCGGGTCAATAAGTAGCATTGTTCCAGTATTTCTTAGCTGCTGGCTATTCATGGGCTTTCCTGTGGTATTTCTGACTTTGCTGTAGAATTTCAGATTTAAGTTGACACAGAAAAATGAAAGACTAATTCTTAAGACATAACTGAATGAAAATACTTTCAGTCCAAACTTTAAATTAGAAAAAAATACCAATTTGATACTCTGTTGTCCAAATACATCTCTGCAACGGAAACAATTTAGATTCTCAATATGAATATATATTGTGTCTCACATTGGCGAAATTAATATGTCTGTCAATTTTTCATTGCCCCCAACCTCCATGTCTTAATGTTTCTAGTGTCTTTGTTTGTCTTTGTTTTTAAAAGCAGTCGCTATGTGTTCAAATTGTAGACTCTGGGTCACGTGGTTTCACTTATTTATTTTTCATAGAAAATTCTAATAGGAAAACGCAAGTGAAGAAAGTGATGGAATTTTCTTTCTATAAATATTATTACGGTTAAATTACTCCCAAAGATTTTAAATCTTGAAGCAATTAGTCGGTTTCATAATGGTTTGTCAGTGTGTCTTATTATCTTCTTTGCATTCTTGAATTCTCAAATCACTCTCACTTCTCAAAGCAAAAGCAAATAAGGGGCAATTAAAGTGCAATGGATATGTTGGTTTCAACCTTCCACATAACTCTTTTAGAAGACAATTTGAAAATTGTACATATAGATGTTCTTCTTTAAAAATTTGGTAAAATAATTTAGTCTCTATTGGTGCCCAGCTATATGTAACTTACATTGATATTTTTCCTCTCTCTCCACCAAGAAACTGGTCCAGTTGTTTGTTCAGGTCAGTTGTTTTATTATTTAATTTAATTTCATATATATGTATTAAAATAGAAATTTCATATATAGTATTTTTTATTATTTATGTAAGTTTTCATAGGAAAATTTGACAAGTTTTTAATTTTATTTCTGGGCCCATGAAATACAAATTCCATTTATATAGAGAGGTTTGTGTGTATTGCCATAGAAATTCCTTAATTTCTAACTAAAATTCTGTAAGATCAATAGAGGCAGCTGTTCCAATATTTCAGAAAGGAGCACACTTTTTTTTGTACTCCAAACTAGTTTCTTGGGAGGCCCTGAGCTAACATTTAGAGAATTACTATCTACATATCAGACATTCAGGGATCAGATATAACTGATCCTAGGGAAAGGACCCTTCTTTGGACATCAGAGTGCTTAAGCAAAGTTAAATAGGTTTAAATTAGCAAAACTACTTTTTGTATTTAAAATATCAATGAGTTCTAATTAACCACTAATGAGATTCATGTTCTCATTTTGTCCTGGGCTCTGGTAATTGGATCTGTATGGATAATGCTGGACCTTGATATTTAGTTTTGGACACTGACGTTAAAAAGTGAAACTTTCAATCCAGCTCTCCAGGGACTCAAACAGTTTAACTGCTCACACATTTTTTTGTCCTTCACTAAAGGCCTTTCCACAATTCTACCAGTATCCCCTTTGGGCTCATCTTCCACAAGAAGTGCAGCACTTTACCCCTGAATCTGTTCTTAACACCGTGGAGCCAATTGGCCCGAACAATGAGGAAGGAACCAAAGTGTGGTGGTAGGTATATGGAAATTACTGCATGCTAATGTTCCACCGAAGGAAACAAAGTGACTTAAAGAACATCCATAAGAAAATATTTAGTGTAAAAAGGACCAGTCAGATACTTCCTGGAATTTAAGACTCAAAATCACTTCTCCATAACAGGCAGAGCAGAATTCTCCATTCAGTAAATGCAACCCATTTTAATGATGGAAGCAGAAAGCTGCCAACCCACAGTAAACCTTATCCTTCTTCAAGTTTCACTAATCTCTAAGCACTTTCCTTCTGTGTATATGTATGATCAATGTGAAAATGGTATGTATATAAAAGACCTCATATTTAGGCATGCATTCATCTTGAATTTAACTTCTGGTCTTTTCCTCATTTGAAATACTATGGTAATGCGTTTTTCTTCTTAGCTTTAAGGTGATCAATTTCAGTAATCTTTGTCAAGCGTAGTCAACTAAGGACTTAATAAGTAACTACCATCTTTTCCTCATTAAAAATTTACTACTGAATAAATTCATCGACTGATATGAATGATTTTTGTTATTTCAGAGATATTAATTCAATTCTCAGGACCTCCACAATTATAGCGCTTGGTGAGTTTATAGGCTCTATGTCTAACACTCAGTGGTACTTTCATTTGAAATTTGAGTTTTCATAATTATGTATTTAAATAACATTAGAATTTAAAATGTATATAATAGCAAAAATGTTTCACTCATAATTGTTATAATAAGGTAAAACACTATGCAATTATGTGTGAATGTTACTACGTTTTCATGGAATAGTGCCTCTGAGTATGTAAAGACAAACAGCCAGACACTATGCCTTATGAGACTAAGGCAGGAATCAGTAGCAAGTCATACAGTAAAACTAAATGTGTGTTTTAATCATTTCAGCTACTCTAAGTGTATGTGTGTGTGGTGGTGAGATGTTCTTTACATCCCCCCAAATATGAAATTAATGAAATGGTAATCTTCTGATGTATGTGATAGCCTGGTAGCATCTTAGCATCATCAATAATAATGCAAAAAGTTACAGCTTAGTAAATAGTTACACACACCAAACCAAGAGTAGTGTGTGTGTGTGTGTGTGTGTGTGTGTGCGCGCTTGTGTGTTTGTATTAGTAATAGAGAAATAAAAATGACCGTACGGGCTAGTTTGATATAAAAAGAAAATGAGTAGTAAAGTCTATAAAATAATCACAATTTCTCTCCCCTCAAAATTATATCTATATCTAACCATGCATTTCCACCTCTACTTACAGATGTGACTGGAATCTCCGTCCTATTCATTTCTCTCCACTCATTGAATGGAACCATCATCTTACCCTAAGGCTTAACTGTTATTCTAGAATAGGAAAACACCATGTAGAGGGTAATTTATCTTGAGTCTTCTACTGCATATTATAGCTAACCTTTCCTAGATATATTCTATCTGAATTCCAGTCCCATCATGCCAGTAAGAAAAACACCCGAGCAGAGAGAATAGAAGTCTTTAACTAAGTTTCTATAATGGAAAATTAGTATTAAGTCTTTGAATTGACTCTTCTGTAAATACCATTATTTGGGGTAATTGTGAGCAGTAACTGAGATTTTCTTTCTTCTCTTTTCAATAAATTATAGTTTAAAGCACAAATCATGTTTTTTTGTCATTACTGAGTGTTTACATAACTTTGTGGATTGTTTGTGTATGTGCAAATCTGCGTTTGAGCTAACTTTATGTCATTTTAATGAATTTTCTGTTAGATATCTTTACTTCTACCTGATGCTGAAACTCATAAAAGATACTTGTAAGCTATACACAGCATCTTTAATTTTTATTTAAATTAAAAACAATTTTATTTTACATACCAATACCAGTTTCCTCTCCCTCCTATCCTCACATGGCCCCCAACAACTCCCCTCCCACCTCCTATCCACTCCTCAGAGCATTTGAGGCCTCCCATGGGGGATCATCGATGTCTGTCACATCATTAGGGGCAGGAACAAGACCCTCCCCCTCTGCATCTAGGCAGAGAGAGTATCCTTCCATGGAATACTCTCTCAGTTCATGCACTAAAGATAAATACTGATTCCACTGCCAGTGACCCCATATATTAACCAGACCTCCAAACTGACAACCTTGTTCAGCGAGTCTGGAACAGCCCTATTTTGGTTCCCCAGCTATCAGTCTGGGGTCCATGAGCAACCTCTTGTTCATGTCAGCTGTTTCTGACACCCACATTCAGGAAGCCTGGTTCAGTCTTATGAGGGCTCTTCAGCTATCAGTTTTGAGTCCATGAGCTCCCATTTGCTCAGGTCAGCTGTTTCTGTGGGTTTCCCCACCCTGGTCTTGACCCCTTTGCTCATCACTCCTCCCTCTCTAGAACTGGATTCCAGAAGTTTGGCTCAGTGATTAGCTGTGAATCTCTGCTTCTGTTTCCATTAGATACTGGATAAAGGAAGAGAGAAGGGGATGGGGGGCATCTTTAATTTAAAGTTGCTTTTTTATAGAATTTCTACCATCTTAGTAAACAGAATTATACATCAGTATTTGGGTGATGAGTTCTCTGGGTGTTTGAACCTGGTTATGCTTTACTTCTGATATTTGAATATATTTGAGGCAAATTCATGATCATATACAATAAACTAAAAATTAACACCACAAGACTAAACACATCAATTTCATCTAAGATTATTAGTAGAACAGAAAGTTGTGTTTTCTGTAATATAAACTAGGGCCAAACTAGGTTAAATCTGATCATAAGGCTCTTAAGTGGGTCTTCTTATTTGGAAGATAAAACAAATTGCTTCTGTTTCCTTACTTTTTAAATAAGCTTGAAGAAGATGCACTTACAAGATTGCTGTTGTGTAAGACAAATATAAAGAACTAAGATTGTCACAATAGAATATGCATCATCTGCAATAAGTAGTTATCATTGCGTTATTAAACTTTTCATGATCCTTCACCATTATCCTCCAGGAAATGTGGGGGAGTAGAGTCACATTCTTTTGACTCATTACTATTCCCCTTTTCAATCTTTAGCACTCACTAAAGATTACCCAGAAATGCAATACACTGTTAATTTACAACTTAAATACAGGAGACATGATTTCTAATGTGCCTTTTTCTACCTCTTCACTCTATACACCAGGGGGAATAAATCAGTTCTTTATAGCAATTCAAACTATACACTGCAACCTGGGCATCCTAGGAATTAACTAGGAATGGTTTCTATTCTTCCTAAAATTAGTGGAAGCAAAATCTCATGCAACACCATCTATTACTTGACTTTGAAAAATTAGTATTAAAACCATGGCTCTTCAGAGCATTCTCCACACTAATTAGTAGTGGGCAAAAGCATTATAGATCTGAGACTGAAAGATGTTGAAATATTCTTTTTTTATTATTATTATATTGTTTAAAATTAGAAACAAGCTTGCTTCACATGTCAATCCCAGCTCCCTCCCCTCCTCCTGAACTCCCCACCAGTCCCTCCAACCCCCCACACCATCCCCACTTCCTTCCCCATAGAGGATATCCAGAGTCTGTCATTTCATTCAAGGCAGGGCGTAGGTCCTCCCCTAAGTGTTCAGGCTGAAAGAGCACCCCTCTTTGTGGTATGGACACACAAAGTCCATTTGTATGGCAGGAATGAATACCGATCTACTGCCCAGGGCCCCATAGGTTGCCCAGGCCTCTTCCCTGACACCCACAATCAGGGGATCTGGATCAGTCCCATGCTGGCCTCCCAGCTGTCTGTCTGGGTTCCAAGAGCCCCCCCTTGTTCAAGTCAGCTGTTTCTCTTTGTTTCACCAGCCCATTCTTAACCCTTTTGCTCATAATTCCTCCCTGTCTGTCACTGGGTTGCAGGGGTTCAGTTCAGTGTTTAGCTATGGGTGTTTGCCTCTGCTTCCAACAGTCACTGGATGGAGGTTCTAGGATGGTATATAAGATAGTCATCAAACTCATTATCAGGGATGGGCCTAGTTTGCCAGTTGGTATCATCCTTGTACATCTGGTGCTAGATCTCTCCTCAAACCTATAATGACTCCCTCTATTATGGTGTTTCTCATCCTGTTCTCCCCTATTCTTCCCCCAACTTAAGCTTCTTGCTCCCCATGACTTCCTCTCTCCTCCTCTTCTTCCCTTCTCTTTTTCCCAGCTTCCACACCCCTCTCCCTGCTCAGAATCTGTTCAGGAGATCTTGCCTCATTTGCCTTCTCTGGGATACCACACATATCTCTCTTAGGTTTTTTCCTGTTTCCCAGACTCTCTGGCAATGGTATTGTAGGATGGCACTCCCCTGATGCATGTCCAAGATCCATATATGAGTGAGTACATGCCATGTTTGTCTTTTTGTGACTGGTTACCTCACTCAGGATGGTTTCTTCTAGAGCCATCCACTTGCCTGCAAATTTCAAGATTCCATTGTTTTTTCTGCTGAGTACTTCTCCACTGTGTAAATGAACCACATTTTCTCTATCCACTCTTCAGTTGAGGGGCATCTAGGTTGCTTCCAAGTTCTGGCAATTACAAATACTGCTGCTATGAGCATAGTGGAACAGGCATCCTTGTTGTATGAATGTGCATCTTTTGGATAAATGCCTAAGAGTGGAATCTCTGGGTCTTGTGGTAGACTGATTCCCGTTTTCCTGAGGAATCTCCATACTGATTTCCAAAGTGGTTGTACAAGTTGGCATACCTACCAGCAGCGGAGAAGTATTCCACTTCTGTTAGTTTGTCTTGTCCAACTTCAATATGATAGTTTTTGTTTTAACTTATTATATTTAATTTTTATGTTTACAAAGGAATGAAAACCTAGCCACTATGGTAAAGTTTAACAACAGAACTGTGACTTATACCTGCTGGGAAGAGAAAAATCAGTTTTCTCTACTAAAGTCACACTGGGTATATCAAACACTCCAGGAAAGACTTTATGTTCAGGAGCAGTTGAACAACATACAATGAACTTCACAGTGCTTTGCTTTTGTGTGTGTGTGTGTGTGTGTTTTCATTTGTTTTTACTTTAGTGCTTGTTTGTTTCTTCTTTTCTTTTGGGGGGGTGCTTTTATTTTTTTGTATTTGGGGAGATCTATTGTATTGAGTTTTTGTTTTTTGAGAAAACATTGAAATTATGTGGGTAGGGAAGAGAAGGGGATCTGGAAGGACTTGGAGGAGGGAAAAATATGATCAAAATACATTGGAATTGAAAAATTGTCATAAATGTACCACATTTTCTTTATCTGTTCCCCAGCTAAGGGACATATATGTTGTTTCAAATTTGGGGACATTATTAATAAAGCTACATGAACATAGTTGAGCAAGTGTCCTTGTGATAGAATGGAGCATCCTTTGCGTGTATGCCTAAGAGTGAAATTGCTGGGTCTTGAGTCAGATTGACTCCCAGTTTTCTGAGGAACCACCATATTAGGTTCCATAATGGCTGTACAAGTTTACACTCCCACCGGAAATGTGGAAAACATGTAGAAAGTGAGTCTAAATGGAGGTCTTCTTTGGATTTCCCCCCTCAGAGTTTGGGGAACCCCAAAGAAGATGGGGAGTAAAAATCATAGGAGTCAGAGGGTATGAAGAACACCAAGAGAAGGTGGTCCACTGAATCAACTAAGCAGGGCTCACATGGGCTCACAGATTCTGAAGCATCAACCATGGACCCTGCAGGGGTATGCACCAGGTCCTCTTCAAATTCTATGACTCTTATCTTGGTGTTTTTGTAAGACTCCTAAAAGTGAGTGTGGGTGTATCTCTGACTCTTTTGCCTACTTTTGTGACTCTTTTACTCCTATTAGATTTGCCTTTGTCTAACATCAATATGAAAACTTTTGCATTTATCTTATTGTATCTTGCTTGGTCATGCTTGGTTGTTGTCTTTTAGAGACCTGCTCTTCTCCTCCAAAGGAAAAAGAAACAGTGAAGGAGTGAATCAGGGGAAGAAGGGAAGGAGGGGTTAGCTGGGAGGAGTGGAGAGAGGCGAAACTGTGGTCAGAATTTGTTGTATGAGAGAAGAATCTTTTCAAAGGATATCCAGGCTACATTCCACAAACCCAGAGAAACTAGGCAAAAAGGGGGACTCTAAGAGGGACATACATGGTGGACCCCACGAAAGGAAAATATTTAAGATCTCCTGGGTAAACTGTGGTGCAGGTTGAATGGAGGGGATGAGGGATGGGAACATGAGACATTAAGACCTAATTGGGGAGAGATGAAGAGAGAGAGCAATGAAAGAGATATCTTGATAGATGGAGCCTTTAAGGTGTTAGGGAGAAAGTTGATGTTAAAGAAGCTCTCAGGAGTCCACAAAGATGACCCCAGCTAAGACTCCTAGCAATTGTGGCGAAAGTGTCTGAATATATCTTCTCCTTTAATCAAACTAGTGACTACCTTAATTGTCATCGTAGAGCCTACATCCAATAACTGATGGAAGCAAGGCAGCGACCCACAGCCAAGCACAAGGATGAACTCTGGAGTTCAGTTGAAGAGAGGGAGGAGGGATCATATGAACAAGAGGGTGTCAAGAGCATAATGGAGAAAACTAAAGAGATCAGAGCTAGGGGGAGCTCCAAGACTAAGGACTGACAGCTAGGGAACCTGCATGGGATCAACCTAGGCCTTCTCAATGTGGGTGACAGTTATGTGGCTTTATCTTTTGGGTGGTGAGAGTCCTAGCCGTGGGTCTAGGACCTATTCTGGTGCATTATCTGGCTTTTTGTAACCCATTTCCTATGTTGGAATGCTTTTCTAGCCTCGATACAGAGGTGAGGAGCTTGGTTCTGCCTCAACTTTGTATTCCAGACTTGGTTGATTTCTGAAGGAAGGCCTTAACCACACTGAGGAATGGATGGGGAGTTGGCAGGAGAATTGGAGAGAAGGGGAACTAGGGTTGGTATGTAAAATGAAAAATAATTTCTTAAATGAAAATGCTTTAAATAAGAAAAAGATAATTATTGTTCAAAGTTGGCTTTTTATGAATATGATAAATGTTCACAAGAAATTTATTCCTAAAATAAAGTAAAATGAATAGTACCTGAAGCTAGAGATCAGTATGGTAATAATTAATGTTTTCACTATATTGTGTCTTTCAAAGTATGAGCACAATATATCTGCCTAGTTACTTAAAGATATATGATTTAATCCATTAGCATTTCCATTATTGTATGTATCTTATCTTGCATCTGACTTTTTACATTTGTTATTTGTTTTATAGATTTGTTAGAGTTTTGCTATTATATTTATTGTTGATTTTGTAAAAACTTATTAAACTCACTTTTAAGATCAAGAATATTGATTAGATTCATTTTAATAGCCACATATTCTGCATATACATAATCTATCTACCTTATATTTCTATTTCTTGATTTCCCCAATAATTAGATTAGTACTCTAGTACTAGAAGTATGATGAGAACTGCCACTCCTATATCAATCTTTATCTTATAATCTTCTCTATTCCACCATTTGTTATAATGTATGAAACTTTCTATACATACATTTTTGTTGAAAATATTTTTCTCACATACTATATATCCCAATTACAATCTTCTCCCCTCTACTCCTTATAGTTTCTTACCTCCTCAACTCCCATTTCCTTCCTGTCTCTTAGTACAAAACTATCAGGCTTCTATCCTAAAAAAAAAGAAAAGAATATAATACAACTACTAACACTTTGGAATTGAACAAAATAAACAAACAGAAGGAAAATGGCCCAAGAGAAGGCACAAGAAACTGAGACCTATTCATTCACACATCAGAAATCCCATTAAAACACTAAACTAGAAGCCATAATGCAGACATAATGTACACATAGTTATGTATATATATTCTTACCCTATATTTGAAATAACCAGATAAGTTTTTTAAAATCAAAGAATAATCCTGACACAAAATTGTGAGACAAGGAACCTCCAAAGATGTCATTGAGTTCATGGAAGCTGCAGCTCTTAACTTTCAATGTTTGAGACAGCATGAGCAAGTCCTATGCAATCTCAAGTCAAATAAAATCTGAGGAACAAGAGGGGAGTAGAGCTGGAACCCACATCTCTGGCTAAGCAGATCTTACATCTGATAGCTGCTGAGAGGAGAATCATCTTTTTAAGTGTGCAGACCCTTATTGGTTGACCATCCTCCAGTGATGGCCCACAGATCCAAGAGTAGATGGGAAGCATAAATTGGACTTGATAGATTAAAATAAAATGATATAATGCATTTCAGTGGGTTGGCAAATAGAGGTAGATCTGAGAAGAGTATAGGGAGGACAGGGGTGAAAAATGAACAAAATATTTTGTACTGAATTCTAAAAGAACTAATAAAAAATCAGACAAATACATTCCCATAAAAAAACTAGTTATCCTATGGTGTTATGAACTTTGAAATGAAATGTCTTTGGGGAAATTTTAATTACAAATGCAATATCTTTACAACAGCTATAGTATATATGAGTAATGTAATAGGTATTTTAATCAGATTTTCAGTGGTTTATGACTAATAATTGACAGTTATACACCACACTTCTGTCAATCAGGATTTTATTAGTCTTTCATGTACTGATTTTTAAGTGAATACCACAACGTTAAAAATAAACTGATAATTACATTTTAAAGATTAGGCTACTAGGACAGAAAAATAAAATAATTCAGAAAAGTTATGTTTAAGTAAGCATGTGGTGCTCCCATTTAAACCTAGAAATCATACTTACATAGACTGTGTCCATACCCTCTACTCCTTTACATGCAACTTTGAGAAACAAAATTATTAAAACTAGAAGCTTAACTAAAAAATAAGATGCCAATGTGTCTTTGATCTCTTGACCAGATCTAAATGTAAGTATTCCAAATCTCTTTCTTAGCTTGTGATGTCAGCTGTATTTGTCTTTCTTTACTTGCAGCATCAATATCCTACTCCCCATCTCCATTGTAGTAGATGTTCTCTTTATGGTTATGACTTTTATTTTATTATCTCATAAGAATAGATGTTATTTTGAATTAACTGCCAAATCTATATGAACACGATGTCACTTGATCAGATTTCAAAATAAAGTTAAAATGTGATATTCTGGTAGGACACAGGTTTTCAATAACACTGCTATCTGGTATTAACAGTGAATAAAAGGGATTAGTTCATAATGATTGCTAAGTTTGCAGTTTGTGTAACAGAATAGACTGTAGGTCTTCTAATTATGTGGGAAGATTGAGGAACAAGATAATTGGGAAGGATTCCAGATGAAAATTTGTCCATGACAGCATAAGATACTTACTAAACACTGAAATGTTAAGTCAAGAATGTAGCTAAGGGACATAAGTTCGTGTCTACTGGAGTAAGTTTGAGATGGTAGGTGAAACTTTTCTCAGGTTTTAATAAGATTTGACAAGCTGATGGTGATCACTCAGGGTCAGACCCATGCATAGAGTACTGTGTGGTAGCAAAACTTAAACAAGGATGAATGAGAGTAGCAGGTGAGTTATGGTAAATCAAATGCTACTATGGTTGGATATTTCAAATGAAGAGAAGTATATTTAAATAATAAGGATATTCAACTTTACCAAATATCACAGAGAAACTAGATAATTTAAAGCAGGTGAGACAACAACTGTTGGAAGCCTTCAAAATATTTTGTGTGTGTGTGTGACAAGTAAAACTACCTGGCGTGGGTTTATAATTTAAAGGACTGTCTTGAGTGAAATAAAGAAATGGGAACAATTTATAAGTTCTACATGAAAGAGATCTTCCTTTTATGATACACATTTTCACATATATAAGGTTTTCACTACAATTATAGTATAATAACACAAGGGAAACACTGAAGTTAACAAGATTCCGGAGATGGAATGTATAATGAAAAATGTATAAATGAAATAAATATTGTATTAATGAAAAAAGTAGTCATAAAAAGAGAGAGAATTCATCACAATGGAACTGTCACTGTATGGCCATAGATAATTGTGATCAGTGCATTTCACTGGGCAATTGCAGCTATAAAGCTCTGGTTGTGGTAGACAACAGGTTTGCTAATGTAAAGACACTGGAAGTGCAGAGAAGCCATGGACTACCCCAGCGGCTATGGCAGTCGCTGTCATGAGGGGTCCTTGAAGACTAGGTGGGTAAGAATCTAGCAGTGACAAACAAAAACAAACATAGAGGCAGTTAGAATCTGAATATATTTTTCAGTTCTCAAACAAGACTTTTTATAGAGATATTTTCTCAGAAGATGTGTTTTGTTAAACAAACCCAAACATATGACATTATTGTTACTTGGCACAGTGATGCAGAAATCCAAAACATGACATCATCCAGAGTTAATCAAAATACAAAATTGTCCTTGGTTAACATAGATCATCTGAGGCTAAGCATATATTTCTGAAATCAAATTAATATATTTTATTGTCAGTTATTGTTTAATATCTCTTACATAATTCTTGTGAGTTTTTTGAAATATTGAGCTATTTTGACTCTTAGTAAAAGCTTTCTTTACCAGACACTTAAGCCCACTTTCGATGACACATATACAGCCATATGAAATTTTATTGTTGGGAAAGTTTTTACTATTTGTACTTATGTGAATGACATGAATGATTTGGAAAGTGCTGTTTTTTTCAGAGATGAGGTCATGGCTAGTGACCCCATCTCAGGGGATGGTTTCTTTTGTTTATAATGTCAGCATAGGCTTTTAGGAACATTTCGTTAATGTGAAAAAAAAAGAATAAAAGGACAAACAGAGATTGCCATGAGAATCACAGCCCAATATTTTTCTCCAGCTGAGAGTTTTCACAACTTTTCAAGGAGACTTCCTTCTGTTGAAGTTGTTGCCTCAGTCTGTGGAACTTGTCACACAGAATCTACTGGATTTGATGTGGCATAGAGGCACAGGGAAATTTTACTATACTCTGTGGTTCTTTAACAAGTCGCTAATGCCCTATAAAAACTTCAGTGAAATTCTTGGCAATACATCACAGATATGGAAATTTAAGTTTTGAGAGGATAAACATCTCACAGAGTATCACTTAGCTTCTGTGTGACACAGGTGTGACACAGGTTCCACATTTCTAATTACTTTCTACAGGGATTAAAAAGTTTACCACCCAGTATAGGATCTATTTCAGGGAAAGTCACAGTTACAATAATTACACAAGAATAAATGTATAAGCCAAGATTTCCAGTAACAAATGGGATACACATCAATCTAAATTTTCCTCGGAACCTTGATTCTTGTTTAGTTATCATTTTAAAACATTGTATTGGAAAAAAAACATTGTACTTGATTTCAGAATGTTCTTTCACATTTATCAGTGTTATATCTATTTTTTCCTCGTTTAGTTTTCTTTAAATTTATTTTTGATTTATTTTGTTTGCTTTTAGACAAGGTGCTACCTGAAAGTTCAAACCACCTAGAATTCATTATGTAGGCTAACTTAGCCTCAGACTCTTGGCTATCAAGCCTCAGCCTTCAGATTCAAGCAATACTAGTGTTCATCCCCTCATGAGTTAGTTATATGATAATTTTAATGTCCATAATAAGTTTATAATGAGTAATCCTTAGAAAGTTTAAAAAATTACAATAAAGACAATTTAAGTATGCCGAAAAGATTATTTATTGAAAAGACTGGAAAGGAAATAGGTTCTCAAAGAATTAATAGTAGGTCCAATTCTACAAACTATTTTGAATACATTATTGACATGCATTTTCAACTCAATATGGAGCTTTTATAATATTTGAAATACAATTGGAAAGCTTAAAGAGTTCATGAGTCAAATTCAAATGGAATGAATACCATATAATACATAGAATAAATAAAAGAATAAAATTTCTTTTGTCCATGTAGATTCATTCAAAAATATATCATTATTTTGTAGCATGATCCAAACATGAAAATGTTCTTGCATTTCCAGTCTCAGTCAATTCTGTGAAAGAAAGGATGTAGAATTAGTTTTGTTTTGTTAAATCAGTGGATCTCAACCTTCCTAATACTGTGACCCTTTAGTACAGTTCCTCATGTTGTGGTGAACCCAATGGTAAAATTATTTCATTGCTACTTCATGACTACGATGTTGCTGCTATTATAAATTGTAATGTAAATTTTCAATATGCAGGATATCTGAAATGTGATTCTTGTATAAGGGCCCTTCATTCACAATGAAGTCACGACCCACATGTTGAGAATCATGGATTTATATTAATTCACCTCTCACCATTTGTAGCAGAAAAAATAAATAAAGCACAATTGTTTTACAAAGGTACTATAGGTTCTTTTCCCTAGAGGCATATAACTCCTACTCAATGGCATACCAGCTCACAAGAAATAGTTACAAAATGTTTATCCTTTAATCAGCCCTAAATGGTTTTGTAATTTAGAATACCAAATCTATATTCTCTTTCTATTGTTCCTTTTTAGTACCTGGACTGAGTAATTTGCATGTGAATCATGAATTAAAAAATAATTTTATATGCAGTAATAATAAAATTTACAAAACATAAGGTAAGCATTGAAATGAAAATTGACCTATAGCAAAAGCTACAAAGCATTCACTTAAATGAAATATGAAAATATGTGAACTACAAAAATAGTCATTCTAATCTTCAATTTCCAGAAACTTACCAAAAATGAGGAAGGACTATTAATTAACCTGGAAATCCTCTTAGACCTTAAATGCAAACAAATAAAAGTAAATAACTATACATTTTCCCTCTTAGTGTAACACCTACCTAAAATGGGTTCTGTGTAACTAATGAAACAACTCAATCTTTTGATTCCATGTATATATGCTCAAAAGAAAAAATAAACTGTAATATGTGAATAATATATATGCACAAGGAGATTTTAGAACTCTGTGAAAGAAAATTTGGTATTCAAATCTGATAAACTGCCAAGTTTAAATGTGTTTTACTCAACCTTAGTATTCTTTAAGTCAGAATTCCAAGTTGATCAGTTAAATCACCTTTCTTGTAATTGTCTATTTCCAACAGGCCATTACTTTTGCCTTTCAATCATAACACTTATATCAAAATCTGTAAGGCACTAAGCACTGGAAATTATGTTGAAGTGAAGATCTTCAGGTGATTCTAGTTTATAGTTCATATTGAAGATCATCAGTTTATTAAAGAATCATATATCTTTTCTTCCATTCTAGAGCTCTCATTTCTTCTATTAATGTCATCATATGCACATTTCAAAGGGAATTTAAAAGGAAGTAAATTTAGACTTACAGTGATGGGATGAGGTTGTTCATTGGTAGAAACCTGGAGAGTGGGGTTAAGCAGAAGGTCTAGGAACTGCAGGAGAGTTTGGGAAGACATATCTCTTTGAAGGAAGGGTGCTACTTGCTGGAGAAGGTACAGAACTTTGGACTGAGGAAGAGACAGCTGGGTGTGAGAAGAAGCCACAGAAGTCTGGGGGAAAGCCTGCAGGACTTGTGCCAGGAGCTGGACCTGAGACTGAGGGATGTGCTGATTTGCAAGAGTAGCAGAACTGAGGACTTGAGGGTTAAAGAGAGAGAGCAGAGTTTCAGAGTTAAGAGAGGGTATGGCTTTGTGCTTGGGAAGGATGGCAACTTTAGTTTTGAGGAAGGCTTCCACTTCAGGAGAAATGACAGGCCCAAGAGAAGGCACCACAGAGGCTTGAGCAATAGACTGGGCATTTTGTGCAAGGGGAGTGCAAGAGATGGGCTGTTGGTAAGGAAAGCCCTGAGGCTGCGACTGGATGAAGGAGTGAACTTTATTCTGGAGCACACCCTAGAAAGAAGAGAACCTTTCAGTCCACAGTTCAGCAACATTATCTTTTTCAATTTATTTAATAATCTTTTAGCTAATGATAATTGAACAAAGGAATGGATTTGCTTAAGGAATTACCATTTTTCGTTTGCTTAAAAGACTATCTTAGCCTAGCTGGGTATGGTGTCTAATGCCTATAAATCTGTCAGTTGGTATCTTGGGAAGGAGGATTGCTATAGACCAACGTAAGCTAAATGGTGCAATCTAGGCAAGCCTGGGGTACAGAATAAGAAGTGATACGAACGTATTCTTGAAACATACACAAAATAAGAAGACATTCTCTTGGGTCACATTAAGAAAATAAATAAAGTGTTATTAGAGATTTCACCCTAACCTAGTCTACTCATAGAAGAATTATGGTGCAAAATGCAATTGATGTTCAGAATTTTTTAGGATCTTTTAACATTTTCCCAAGCCATTTCTACATCTGTCATTATATATTCTTAGGTATGAAAGAGCGTCGATTTCTCAACTTTTGTAGATTGATAACAGAACTAACTGTTTGTGTACAGTTGAAGGCAAATTAATTTTAAAATGTTTAATGGGACAATGCTAAAGTTTAATTTATTTGATTTTAAGTAAAAATCAGCCTTAATATGTGCTAAATTCTGTGAGCCACTTAATATTTTGGTCAAGTTATAGAATGGCTTCCCTTGGTAGGAACAGTTTTCTTAACCTTTTCAAGAGGTATCAATTTTTAAAATTTTAATTTGACATGAAAAATGGGAGCAACAATCAATTTACTAAAGAAAATAAACTATCAAAATTAAACTTGATACTATTAAGAAAATTGATTTGAAGGCAACCTCTTTTTTTGTTGTTTTGTTTTTTCGAGACAGGGTTTCTCTTTATTGTTTTGGAGGCTGTCCTGGAACTCTTTCTGTAGACCAGGCTGGCCTCGAACTCCCAGAGATCTCCCTGCCTCTGCATCCCGAGTGCTGGGATTAAAGGTGTGTGCCACCAACGCCCGGCTAGAAGGCAACCTCTTATACTGTACAGCTTAAGCAGTGGCCCATTCAGTTGTTCTATATCTTGCTCCACTTATCTTTGAAGTAGAAATGCCCTTACGACTAGGTAAACATCAAGTACAAATGTTTTCATAAACCAAATGGGAATTAACTAAAGGCCAATTAACTACATTCATGGAAACAGTTTAAGAATGTGTTTAGTTTACAGGTGAAGAAAAAGTTAAGGATTCCTGCCACATTCTCAGTGTGTCCTTTCATCACAATATTCATTTAGAAAATAAAAGGAACATTGTTTCTACTGGGGAAATGATTGTGTTAATTATTAAGAACAGATAACACCACTAGTAACTGCAGTCATGATTTAGAAAATGCATTGACACCTGAGTGTGCTTTCATAGCAGTGGTGGTGTGTGCCCACTGATTGCTATGAACATACATGGTATAATTATTTTCTGTCATTACATGTCACAAAATCAAGACATAAATTACCTTTGCTTGCAGCTGTTCCATTTGTTCTACCATCTGAAGTTTCTGTTAGAAACAACGTGTACATTAAAAATCTCAAAGGTTTCATCTTCATGAAAAAGCATGGATAGTAAATATAATGGCATTTATTAATTAAATAAATTACCTCACTGATATTTTCAGTAGATTCCTACAGAAAAATACAAAACATTAATTTTTACTGAGTAAATAGTATTAAAATTAAGGTATTTGGTAGGCTATATTAATAGGTTACCGATAGGAAAATTGATGAAACTTTATATTTAAACTATTTAAAACATTTTGTATAAACCGATTGTATATGAGAAAGATGAATGCAGTCAAGAAATAAAAGTGAATTAGTCAGCACAGAATATATATAAAGAGATATCTAAACAGTGCTAATTCCCTTTACAACCATAATTCTTTCTCTGGTTACAAATGATCTTTAAATCCCATTTAATTCTTAAAACCAAACACACAAACAGAGTTGAAAATACAGTCTAATGACAGCTAAGAGTACCTACTGTAGTATATACTTGCTAATATGCCAGCCTCCAAATAAACTATGAGAAATAAATACTTCCTCTGAGGCATTTGTAGAATTCTGAAGAGAAATGTATATATTTGTATCCGCTAATAAACAAATGGCAACACATACAAATAAATAGTTCAAAGTAAAGACATCTATTTCTTTCAGGTACATTTAGGACTATATTGCATCTCACTTTTTTATTTATCTAATGACAACTTTAATAACCAAATGCAAGAAGGCCTACCCAGTATAGAACAAGTATCTATTTCTATTAGCGTCTGTCTTTAGTTTGAACTGTAGCTGCTAGCCATTGAACAGTCTATAAAAAGCACATGATAAATATTAAAAATTCATGTTAAATTAGGGAGAGCTCTTGGTGGAGAATATGATTGTGAGCTTCTCAAATAAAAAGGTGTAGAAGAGCCAGTGAAACATTTCAAATAAGAAACTAACTTGATAAATTCTAGAATATGCAGCTATCTAGGTATTTTTCTGCCCCTAATACAATGCACAGTATATTTACCAAAAAGACATATGCTATAGTATGGCCAACACAATGTAATTCAACAGAAAAGAAACACTTCACTGTTCTAAGTCTAGAAGTTGCCTCTGAGTGAGAATTGCCTTCCCTCACTGCTGGAAATGCTGTCAGTATGCAAAACCAATAATAATACAAATGTGTTAATTTACAGATCCAATTAGGACTTCCAGATCATTAAAATGTAGTTACTTTAGGGTTAGAAAATTTTCTCAATAAAACATCTTACCTCAGAGGATATGCTGAGTGATTCCTTTTGTAAAAAGAAATAAAACTCTTATTAGTGACTGTATCTACCTTGCTACTAAACATGCTTCCTATTTGACTTTTATGTCATTCACTTTTCAGAAACTTAAAAAGCAAAAAAAAGTTATGAGCCTTTTAGAATCTTGAAAACATATTTGCTATCTCTGATATTTTAGTAATTTCTTATTGGTACATTCCTACATTAAATGAATTTGGGCATGATTTTTGATGAGTGAGAAGATGGAAGCTATTTTAGTTTCTACTAAGCATTTTTTATTTATGCCTACAAGTCTGCCACAATTCTTGATTATGTCTCTTCCACTGAATTTCCCTTTGGACAAGCACAGTAAGACTTGACCTGGTCATCAAAGAGATGCATACACTTTATCACCAGAATGAGATACTCAAGCCACATGTGTGAGTCTACTTTTGTGGAGTCATATTTACTTGATGTATCTCTATTTCCTTGTTTAGGTTCTTGTCTGCTTTACTTTTCATTTGGAACTGGTGATACAATAGCACAATAAGCATTTGTTCCAGCTTTGAGAGCCTACAGGAACTTTGGGACAACACGTGAATCTCAAAGAAGCAGGAACTAAGTAAACAAATCTGAAGTTCTCCATTAATTATACACAGAGTTGTCACTCCTGTTACTGTCTACAAATGACCAGACCATTCACTACATCTTAATTACATAGGAAGTTTCTATACATACCTCACTTGCAAAAGCAAGTGCCACAAGGCAGGCAAGAATGAAGACCTTCATGGCTTTCTGGTCCTGTGAATTAAAAGATGAAGGAGTTGTAAGATATGAGTCAGTCAATTAAAGTCAAACTATACTCTGCCTCCTAAAACTCCTATTACTAACATCAAATTCAGACTTCAGCAGTCACCAGCAGTACTTTCTGCTCACTGCTCTCTTCCATTCTTCTTTGTTACCTGTCTATTGTTAACAAGAGTATGGACGCCTTACAAAACTATGAAAGAGTCATAACTATGGAATACTTTAACAATCAAACTATTTAGCATTAACACGTGGCCAGACAGTGAACAGATTGTGAAGACATCAGCAATAGGAAGCCTCACTTCTAGAGTGAATTGATAGACAATGTACATAAACTGTTGTGTTGATGGTGAGTGAACTCAGCATGAAAAATAAAAATTTAGATATGTTTACAAAGCATTCTTTCCAATACATGAATGTGGAAATTATTCTATTAGTAAAAAGCTGGTTTTGGCCTTTTGGATGTATGCTGTATAATTCCTTATGAACCTTTCCTTGTCTAAAGACTCCTCCATGGGCTACCATGTGATTTAATCATTCTAGTTTAAAAGAAGTTTGTACCCTTGTAGATTATGAATGTAAGGAGAATCCCATTGCAATTCTTATACTTTATTCTTACCATTTTATGTACCTATCTTTAAACTGAAACTTTAATGTTACCTGATACGCTATAAAACACTTTTCTTTCAGCTCATCTTATTTCCATAATCATGGTTTCGAAGTCATATCTGATCTTCCTAGAATTATTTTGCAAATGGAAGATTTTGTCTCTATTTTCACAATTACTAATATCTCACATGTGAAACATTATGAGCTAGATCAAGAATTCCAAGACTCTAGACAAGTTTTATGGTTGTAATCTTCTTGAGTACAAACATGTAATTTGCTGTTTGTAATTGTTGCCCAGTAAATATCCTTTTCCATAATATAATCTGAATGCATTTTATTACTAAAGAAAAGTAAATCAAATAAAAGAGTTTATTAAAGAAGTCAATTCTCAGTCTCCTCATTATATCATTCATTGGCCTTGTATTTATTATTATATTTTCTCATTTTTGTAAAGCCAATAGTCATTGTCATTTTTACCAAATGTTTTTAGACATTTCTGTATTTTAAGCCTAGTTTTTAAAATAATATCACTACTTTTGAAATATTTAATTTCAAAAGACTGTATATTAAGTAATTATATTATTTCCAGTATAGTTTAGTTTTAAATAAATTATGAAAATACTATGTCATAGTATGACTGAAATTCTTACCTTAGATGGAGGACAAGAGTGCAGGTGAAGCTGGGAGGATGATGGTCTATCTGCTTCTGCCACTGTATATATACTGTATTTGATGACATGCTAATTCTGTGGTTTGTAAAATATTCAACAAGTTCCTTCAATTCCAAGAAGTCCACGTGATGAGAAAATGGTTTCTTTCTATTATCTTTCCCAAGAAATTCTGGGGTACATTGAACAAGGCACCAATTCAGAAGCTAGAGTAGGAAACTCATCCAGGAAATGCAGTTGTCCAATATCTTAAATTAACTGGCTGGCCCTCCAGCCTAGAACACAGTTGCATTCTAATGGGGGCTTTAACCTCAGTTGTGGGCAATGATATGGAGACATTGGAGATCTACAGAGCTTTACAGAGGTCAGGACTTCATCCTAACGTGAGCATTAAGAACTCAATGATGATATGATAACCCTAGTCAAGTGCAGCAAAGTCTTTATCACTCATATTCACCCGATTTGGGAAAAATAAATACTTCAATATTTACCTCACAAAGGGATGTATTTTATACATCATTAGAACAAATCAGAGAAGGAATATGTAAAACTTGTATGGAAAATAAAACTACGAATCTGTAGCAAAAAGTTTGCACAAAGGTCTGAGGATAAGCCTAAGTATGCAAAGCCTCAGGTTTCTGCAGCTAACACCAGTAAACATGTTACCTTTTCTGCCTCCTTTCTCTCTCTCTCTCTCTCTCTCTCTCTCTCTCTCTCTCTCTCTCTCTCTCTCTCTCTCTCACTCCTTCTTTCTATTCTGCTTTTTTCTTAAAGATATTCATAGATATTTATTTATTTAATAATAAGTTATCTTTTTCTACTTCAGTTATAATAACCATAATAGTGGTTACAGACTATTTTTACTTAATAGTATGTGTATATCAACCACTAAATACATTATACTTTTCTGTTTAAAACAAAACAATTTGAAGTTGTTCTTTTCTCTCATTTAACAGTTAAGAATTGAACATAGCAGTGGTCAAGAAACTTATTAAGTCATGTTATATTTAATAGTAAAGTTATCATACTCACTCCACATCTATCTCAATAGTGATTTTATTTGGTCACATGTAAGTCCTACAACCCACACTTGAATTCTTCTGATATTTTGTTGTGAAAAAAGTCCCTCAGTTTTAAAGGAAGCATTTTTGTCTCAATGTACAGAATTTAATTTGTCTAATACAGAAATGGTACATATTTGCTGAATGCAGGATGCTGAGATTATGAGTTTACTACTTTAGCTAGGTCATTAAGAATAAGTAGAATTTTGAAATCTAGATCAGTAGTACAATATGACATCTCTAAGAACCCATAAAGTGTAGACAGTACTAGGTATTGTGGCAGGTGTTTGATAGGACCAGTTCACAAATGCTTGTGAATTTCAGATGTTTCATTGACATGATTCACTGGAAACATGAAATGTAATTGAAGATTTAAAATAAAGAAGTATTATAAAATAGTTTGGATTTTGAAACATTATGACAATATAAACCCAGTGATCAGTTAGAATATTATTAATTTAGTCTAAAACAGATATTTAATGACTCTAAGTAGGTAGATGGTGCTAATGGACTTGGATGATGGAAAGGAATATGTAATTTAAGTGAGAAGCAGATTAAAGAAAAAATAGGCTATGCCTGTATGGTGATTGAAATGTCAGCTGTTACAGATCAAGATATGAAAGGAAGCTGAAATTAGATAGGGAATGGTGAGTTAATTGTGAAATTGGAAGGGAGACAATTTGGGATAAGGGAGGGACAAGAAAGGGATATAGAAAGTCAATATGACTAAGATACATGGTATAATTGAATGCTAATGTCTCTAATGAATGCATACAGAAGCTAATTTTAATGAGCTTGGTATAATGAGAAAAGATCGATAAGATGGTTGCCATTTAGTCAGGATAACCAGAATCATAGCAAGGTGTTGGACAAAGGAAAGGATTATAGGTTAAAAGAAAGAGTCTTGTGCAGGGATCAGCTGTGGTGACACACCAAAGAGTGACAAAAAAATTCACGGGTTTCATTGGCTCAAAGTCACATTCAAAAGATTAAAACCTATGAAAAAACATATCAGCACTCCTAACAGAGGATTGAAAAAGGCGATTAAATAATACAATATATATATTAGGACATAAAGTCTAGAAGTTAAACTTGTGTGGCCATCTTTTCCTTACTGTTTGAATATGCCTGAGGTAACAAAAAATTTAAGAATTTCAACATTAAAGGAAAAACAATATCTGAATAATGACTAGACCCTAAATACAGTCATACATGAACACTGCATGTAGCAAAATAGTTGTCAATGGAAGGAGGGGTATTCTGGATTAAATGTGTTTTCCCAAGTAGTAGCCCATATGCAGCAATATAGAAATGCTAAGTAGGTCAAACAAAATCTTCATAGGAAAGCAGGCAGAAAAATCTACTTGTGCAGAATAATGAGCCTCTTAAAAAATCTGTGATACAGTGTGCAGTCAGAGAAGGGATAGTTAGTTAATTTCAGATGATGGTTAAGAAAGAGGAAAAGAAGATACACAGAGTAATGTGTTCTGGGCAAAGAAAAAAAGGAACTAAATATACAGGGATACAGGGTCTTTTCAGGACTTCCATAGCAGAAGCTGAAGGAGGCCTCAAAATACTTGTTTTGCAAAGGCTTACAAATGACAGGTCCCAAATTTATTTGTCTACTCAACGACGAATATTCATAAAAGCATTTAGCTGTTTGTATTTGATGCTGGTCATTTTTAAATATTTCTTTCTATTATTCTCTGTCTGTAAAATATAATTTCTCTTTTCAAGTAAAAATTTTACTATCATTTTTTTCTGAACAGATATAATTTTGATACCACACTAAATTTATGGGAGAGAGTGACACTTCTATTAGTCAAATCGGTGTTATAGTACTTGAAAAACCAAAGTCAATGACTATTATATTTTGTTGTTGTTGTTTTCAGTTGATATTCATGCTAAGTTTCTGAACATTTTAAGCCAAGGAGGTGCTAGGAAATCAAATATTGAAATTCTTCCAATGTCCTAAGCCATTTTAGGAAACACTTTGTCTGCCCAGTGCACCTTGTGCTAGCTCCCTCTATTGCCGACATCATAGGCAACACTGTATGATTTCCAGGAAAACTAATACACAGTAACCATGACTTACTCATGCAACATTTCCTTTTATTTTCTCAGCAAAGTGCTTCACATCTTGTGTGCAATAGCTACAGCATTTCCTTGGGACTCTCCCACCAACTTTAGCTGTTTTAATCAATATACTGACAGATTTGTCTGAGTCAGATAATTAAAATAATCATCAAGAAAAGCATGAATGACAACCTAAGCAAGAGAATTTTCCAGTGAAAAGTGGAAAGCGAGAGGCCTAACATAAAGCAGATGTTTGTAGTAAGGAAAGCTTTAGACAGCAACTGTGTAAGAAGCAGTGTGCAGAAACCCAGCCTTGCTACAGTTCACACACACACACACACACACACAAACACACACACACACACACACACACAGACTCACAAAGAATTATAGCCACTGAGATTTCTCAACCATGCAATATGTCTTAGAATTTGGGTGATGGGTCTGAAATATGCCAACATAAGATTTTAGTGACCCCTAAATGTAACAGGTGACATCATATAAATACCATAAGAGAGAAAACTGTAACTCAAAGAGTAAAATAATATGAACCACCATTCAAAAAGTAAAGATTAGCCGAGACTGTAGATACCATTCATAAAAATCTCTTAACATACCATATTGAAATGAGAAAACTTCAGATCGGAGAGATTATATTGTTTTTAAAAATGTATAGAAATGTAGACAGTACTAAATAACATTCAAAACTGTTCAATAAAAACAGGTGTAGGGAAGGAAAATAACCAGTGCAATCCATGTAATACTTCAAATGCAAATGTAATTTAATAAGTAATTACATGAAATGAATAGATAATAACATTTAATATGTAAATAGAATATTTTAATTCAATACATATGATTATTGAATATAATAAAAATGTATTAAACAAAATATTGGTTTTAAATTGATTCCTAAACATAAGCAAAATCATAGAATTACAAAATATTCTCTAAGCGAATATCCTGGAAGAATAACACTAAATAATAGCATATTTTTCATCAGACTCTAATTACTTTGCTTTACACAGAATCATGAAATTTCATACATCCAGGAGAGATTTATGAAGCATAGATAGACCTAATGTTATTTTCAGATGTCTTAATCTTGGCACAGTTTTCCATGGCCAAATATTTTTTTATCTCTCAATGCAATTTATCAGACTCTTACTCATTATCGTCAACAACTGCCACTTGCTATAATTCTTTCCTCTCTTCTCTTTCCCTCTTGTCCTGCCTGTTCTCAGACTATCTTACAATCTAACGCCATCTAAAAAGCAGGTTACAGCAGGGCAGTCTCCAATGATTACATTCTCCACTTTGCTTTCCTCTCTGTGCTTGCTTGTCTGCAGAAAGGTATCTAGCTTTGTGTTTGTATCCATTTTATCTGTCTGTCTCATGTTTATATACTTTTCTCAGTATTCTAAAGAAGTAGATGGTATAGACACACACATAATCTCTACACCCTACATTCAAGAAGATGGCTGAGAAAAGCAGCAGGACACACTACCACAGTAAAACAGTTGTCTAGCAAAGCTGCCCATGGTGTCTGGTAAAGCTGTTCAAACCTCAGGGTGATTGTAAAGGAAACCTGATAGAATGAATTAGACGTTGTGATGTGGATGCAAAAGGACGCTACAAGTTTCTCCTACAAAAATTTGGTTTTCCAGCCGGGCAGTGGTGGCGCACAACTTTAATCCCAGCACTCGGGAGGCAGAGGCAGGTGGATCTCTGTGAGTTCGAGGCCGGGCTGGACCGATAGCCTCCAAAACTATACAAAGAAACCCTGTCTCGTAAAAACAAAAAAAATTGGTTTTCCTCATTCATTGGGTACTTGGGGAAATTAAAAGTATTAGCCATTTTTCCAGACTAATTTAGCCTTCCATTCTTGCTCTCC